TCTGCACATTAATTTTTATTTCAGCTCAATTCACAATAGCTAAGACCTGGAAACAACCCAAATGCCCATCAACAGTAGACTAGATAAAGAAATTATGACATGTACTCTATAGAATACTATACAGCAGTCAAAAACAATGAAACCTGGTCATTTGCAACAAGATGGAGGAATCTGGAAAACATTATGCTGAGTGAAATAAGCCAGTCCCAAAGGGACAAATATCATATGTTCTCCCTGATCGGTGACAACTAACCGAGCACCAAAAAGGAAACCTGTTAAAGTGAAATGAACACTATGAGAAACTGTGACTTGATCAGCCCTTGCCCTGACTGTTGATGAACAATTTAATACGATATCCCTCTTAGTATTTTTTTTTGTTTGTTCTACTTAATACTTTTGGTTGAATTCTGTAATCAATACACAGTTATTCTTAAGTGTTGAAACTTAACTGAAAAGTGATCCCTGTTAAATATAAGAGTGGGAATAAGAGAGGGAAGAGATGTACAATATGGGACATGCTCAATCGGACTTGCCCTAAACGGAAGAGTTAGAAACATACCAGGGGATTCAAATTCAATCCCATCAAGGTGGCATGTACCGGTGCTGCGGCTCACTAAGCTAATCCTCCACCTTGCGGCGCCAGCACACCGGGTTCTAGTCCCCGTTGGGGCGCCAGATTCTGTCCTGGTGGCCCCTCTTCCAGGCCAGCTGTCGGCTGTGGCCAGGGAGTGCAGTGGAGGATGGCCCAAGTTCTTGGGCCCTGCATCCCATGGGAGACCAGGATAAGTACCTGGCTGCTGCCATCGGCTCAGTGCGGTGCGCTGGCCGCAGCGGCCATTGGAGGGTGAACCAACGGCAAAAAGGAAGACCTTTCTCTCTGTCTCTCTCACTGTCCACTCTGCCTGTCAAAAAAAAAAAAAGGTGGCATGTACCAATGCCATCTCACTAGTCCAAGTGATCAATTTCTGTTCACAATCAATCATAATGATAGGACTAAGAACCAAAGGGATCACATAAACAAGAATAGTGTCTGCAAATACTAACCGATAGAATCAAAAAGGGAGAGAATGATCCAACATGGGAAGCGAGATACACAGCAGACTCATAGAGGGGAGATGTCCTAAATAGCACTCTGGCCTCAGAATCAGCCTTTAAGGCATTCAGATCTGGCTGAAGAGCCCATGAGAAAATTTTAGGCATGGAAAGCCAAGACACTCTGGAAAAAAAAAAAAAAAGGAAGACCTAAATGAAAGATCTCTGCGAGTGAGATCCCAGTGGAAAGAACGGGTCATCAAAGAAGGTGGTACCTTTCTCTGAAGGGAGGAGAGAACTTCCACTTTGACTACGAACTTGTCTAAATATGATCAGAGTCGGTGAACTCAAAAGGCTTCCATAGCCTTGGCAACTCATGACAAGAGCCTAGGGAGATTACTGATGCCATAAACAAGAGTGTCAATTTGTTAAGTCAACAACAGGAGTCACTGAGCACTTACTCCTCATGTAGGATCTCTGTCCTTAATGTGCTGTACATTGTGATTTAACACTATAACTAGTACTCAAACAGTATTTTTCACTCTGTGTTTCTATGTGGTTAGAAACTGTTGAAACCTTTACTTAATATATGCTAAACTGATCTTCTGTATATAAAGAGAATTGAAAATGAATCTTGATGGGAATGGAAGGGGAGAGGGGGTGGGAAAGGGGAGGGTTGCAGTTGGGATGGAAGTTATGGGGGGGAAGCCATTGTAATGCATAAGCTGTATTTTGGAAAATTATATTCATTAAATAAAATTTAAATAAAATTGATACTTGCATTTGAAATGCATTCTCTTGAGATTCTTTATGCTCCAAGCCACAGCATAAGATCTTAGAAAGTTTTAAAAATTTTTGGGGGGAATTTGAGTTTTTTCACTGTCAGGGTGCGATGATTACAGATGAGATGATTTGAAGATGCCTCCAGAAAGCAAATGGCTTTTATACTGGACTATGTGGGCATGATTGCAATCACTGGTTTCTGAGAAAGTTTCTAACTACAATGTTGGCTGAAATAAATTGTATGGTCCAGATCTTGGGCACATTTTTATAGGCTAATGCATTTGTTTGTTTTACCCCAAATATTTTGTCAAAAATAGAAATATCCTGCAATTCTATTGCTCAGGCAAGAGGCCCAAACCTACCTCTGTGGTTTTCTATGAGGTCTGAAAGATATGTTACATCTAACTTGTACTTTGCACAGAGCAAGAATGACTCCAAAAATGGAAGTTTCAATAGTTCTCCTCCTTCTGTTGCTGCAGGTACAATCGTTTGAGTTGTAGGGGAATAATATGTTATCAAAAAGGAAGTGATTTAGGTAGTTCATCAATAAGCAAAACATAGAATTACCATATGACCCAGCAACTTCAATTCTAGGTACATACCCAAAGAATTGAAAACATATGTTCATGTGAAAACATTAACAGAAATGTTTTGGCAGCATTATTTGCAATAGTCAAAATATGGGAACAACTGTAATGTTCATGTGATTATGAAGGATTAAACAAAATGGATTTGACCATATGATGGGGTATTATTCAGTTATAAAACAAAACGAAGTACTGACACATCTACAACAGGGAAGAACCTAGACAACATTGTGGTAAATGAAAGAAGCCAGAAACACGAATCATATGTTATAGGATTCTGTTTTATGATGTACGAAAATACATAGAGAAAGAAGGCAAGTTAGTAATTGTCAGGGCCTGGAGGAGGGTCAATGGAGAGGAACCCCTTAATGGATATGGGGTTTCCTTTTGTGATGATGCAAATGTTATGGAACTGGTGATGGTTGCACAACCTTCTGAGTGTACTAAATGTCATTGAACTATCCCTTTTAAAATGATGAATTTTATGTTATATGAATTTAACCACAATCAAAATAAATTATTTTAACATATATATAAGAGTAGTTCAAAATTTTCAGGGAAAAAGGAATTAAAAGATAAATTTATATTACTGCAAACATTTTTTGAAATCTATGTATATTTTTCATAAAATGCATTTCCATGAACTTTTTGCAAACCCTTTTTTATCTCTAAAATAGAATTTTAGGCTTCATGAAGCCAGAGCTCACCAAACATTGTGGTCATCACTACTATACAAGCATTCTCATTTGATCTATAGCCTTATGAGCCTTTTAACTAGTTCTCAAACCCCATAAGGAAGGTTCTTTTACAAGAGTTCATAACCTTGTACACACTTCTTGCATCCTGATCTCAGCTAGGGGAAATGAGTTGTTATTTGACCTTAACCTTTGACCCACCAGTTCAATCATTCAATCTCTATCAAATTTTAAGTGAGAACCTAAGCCTTGTTGAGGAAGGCATGATTGGTCATGTAAAAAGGTCAACGCACCAATCCTAATGAACTGAGGGTATCAGTACTTACAGAAAATCAGTATATATATATATCCTAAAAATATAGATGATTCAGACAAACAGACCCAATGCCATTTTAGGTCAATACAGATAATAATTTCATAAGTTAAAAAACAGGTTGCCTGTATGTAACCATGTAAAGATTAAGTCAATGTACAAAATCTACTTCTACTTATTGTTCAATTGTGCATTAAATATTTTATTAAAAAGTAAAATTATATCTGTCAAAATCAAAGTTCATAACTCGAGTAGGAAGGGGTTTCTTGCACTCAATAAATGTATAGCAACCCCTTGACAAACAATTGTGAAACTGACTTAATCCAGCACCATATAGCCTTCACTCACTCTGTGTTCTTGATAACACACCAAAGTTGCAAAGATGTAATTCTTTACATATGATCAAAATGCATTTGAGACAGTTCCCTCTCACTGGGAAAATGCACATGCATCATTGACACCACCAAATAACTATTTTTCTCATGAGTCCTAAATGCCACTTGGCTTTTTTGAATCAAGAAGTACAGTCTCATAGAAATGCTGAAAACACACATACCTGCCATCTCATGTAATGGGAAAGTACTGGAAATACTTAAAATGCAGAATGGAAAAATACAAGGGCAGTAGCAAGGTTTTGCCAAATGCCTTTTGCCTAAAGGTTCATGTAAGTTGCAAAATGCAGTGTTTTGTTTCTTAGCGGCATTCTGCAGTGCTGCATCTGGGAAGGGTGAATGGAGCAGTCACACTTATCCCTAAATTAATGAATATGGTCTATAAGCCTCACATTAGAGTCACCAAAGAAAAGTACTCATAAGTAGTTCAAGAGGAGGGAAGATATTCTCCATTGCATCCTGATGACCAGTGTCTGTATGGGCAGTAGACAGAAGTGGGGGTGTGTATGAAAACACTTTTAAAGGACTCATCCTCTCTCCTTACTGTAGTTCAAATGAAAGCATGAGTTCATTTGACTTATCCCAGAACACTATGCCTATCTTAGCTTCATTCCCTTTCTCCAAAGCACAGGTATGAAGGAGAGAAGTAGAGCGATGTAAGATTTGTGTTTGTCAAAACCATTGCAGGGGCCAGTGCTGTGGCTTAGTACATAAAGCTGTTGCCTGTGATGCCAGCATCCCATATAGGCACTGGTTCATGTCTTGGCTGCTCCATTTCTGATCCAGCTTCCTACTTATGTTCTGAGAAGGCAGGAGAAGATGGTCCAAGTTCTTGGGCCCTTGCCACCCATGTGGAAGACTGAGATGAAGCTCCTGGCTTCTGGCTATGGCCTGGTTCAGCCCTGGCAGTTGCAGCCATTTGGAGAATGAACCAGCAGATGGAAGGCCTCTCTCTCTCTCTCTCTCTCTCTCTCTGTGTGTGTGTGTGTGTGTATAATTCTGACTTTCAAATAAATAAATGAATAATAATAAAAAAAACACCTTCCTTATAGTGACCCAGAAAGCCTAGTGCAGAATGGCCCAGACACTTCCCCCTTTTCCTCTTTCACTCTGTTCTGACACCCTTCCTTTAAAAAACATATTAATTTATTTTACTCCCTCCCCTTGGGCCCAAAGTCACAGCTTAACCTCTTCCTACCTGGTACAGCTCAGTAGCAGTGCACTGAGTGGTCAAGGTCTTCACAGGCTCAAGGTCATCTTCATCACTACTCAGCTTCAGGTCATCCTCAAGCATCCTGCAAAGATGTCAGAATAGAATTCACATTACAAAGTATATTTCCTAAATCATCCTCAAATACATCTTGCAAGAAGAATAAAATGTTGGCGCTACAATTCTGTGAAAGGTGCAGTGGGAACCAAAATTCTTTTAGCCAATTAGATTTTTGGGCTCTTATATTTATGTCATATTCTGTACATATATTCCCTTTCTATCTTCCCCCAAATAAATGAAAAAAAGTATTTCAGCATCACCACAGACTGAAGCCTATATATTTTGACTACTAAAAGTGCAATCAATGTACTGTGTGGGTGACATGGGATCTCTACCGGACAAGGTGCTCTGTTCTCCCTGTAAAGAATAGGGGTATGATAAAAGACCCTAAGTCCTAGAGTCTGTTGGTGAAACCTGTTGGGACTCTCTGGATAACAAAAGTAAATGACCCAGTGAACTTCCAGTGCCCTCTGTGGCTGGGCAGTTCAGTGGCACAAAAAAGCAGTGTGGGAAATGGCTAGTCATTAACATTTTGATATATGGCCATTGTCTTCCTGTAAAATTTGTTCTAAGAGATATAATCCCATAATGTGGATAAGAAATCTTTCTCTCCCTAAGGCAGGGTACCTAAAAATATGAGTTATCTGGATTTTGGTGATGAACTAACACTTTCAAAATTGTTTATGGAGCACACACAGTCTTTTGTTTCTATAGGGGTATTAATTCCAGTGTCATCCATTTCCCCAACTTCAAATTTGAGCTACAGCAGAAAGGGTGGCTTGATATCTTATAATTCCAGTAGTGCAGGCTTCAAATATCATTAATGTCCATATTTTCATTTATTAAATACAAACTTTAGACCTCACTGCCAGGCTTCAGGTGGGGGCAGTATCAAACTCCCTGCATGAATCACCAATTCTCAAGCATTTTCTTCTCTTTCTTGCTTCTAGGCTCAGTACCAAGCACAGCTTCAGGACTAGAATTCCCTTTCCCAATTCCAGAAATCCTATTTTTCCTCTATAGCTCCACTAAAGCTTTCTAGGGAGAATTCCTATTTCAGAAAATACACCTTTTTCCTCTTGTCCTTAAGCTCTGGCTAGATCACAACACTCCTTTTCACTGACTCTCTCCCCAACCATTCACAAATTCCTTTATGGCAATGAGTGCAACTTATTCACCACCATGCTTCAGAGCATCTTCCCAGAAATGAGAGAGTCCACTGGCATCATTTTGCATACAAGGAAGGAAATATTCAGAGAGGTGAAATGTTTTGCTCAGCATCACACAGCTAGTTTGCACAATAGACAGTCCTAAATTCCCCATCTCTAGATTCCCACCTATGTGCTTCTTCCTGAATGGAAAAGGCAGATTCTCATTTGACAAATAGGGGGGAACATTATTTTGGAAGTTGTATTCAAATGTTATAAAGAGATATAGGTTACAGAAGGTATCGAATAACTCTCCAGAGAGAGCACAGCTCCCTCACTTTCACACTCAGCCACATAGGGCCAGGATGTTTTCACTGAGGTCTGAAAATGGAAACTGATATAAAGGATGATTGGTGGGAAGGGCAACTGTTACACTTTGTTTCAGATAAACTAAATTTGAAGGATTTATGACTGTCCTTCAAAAGACTAATGGATGTGTTGAAGATCTTAGAGAAGGAGGAAAAATGCATCTTGGTGTTTATTTTGCAGTTACAGGCTTATGACTCTGAACAAATAATTCTTACAATACATTGTGGGAAGAATGTATCACTTTCATAAGCTCTATGCAGAACTCAAGTACTTAAAAACTACCTATGCTTGTCATTATAAAGGGTTCATTTTTCACATGTGTGCATCTCAGTAATGGAGGGAATATGTACACATTATTTTATTTTCTATTTAAGTGTTCAGCCAGTAAGTGATAAATCATACGCACATTTTGAAATTTCATTTTTTGTGTCATAGAAAGTGCTAAATATCTGGCCAGCAACATGGAATTTGGTCTTCATGGTGATCCTGTGAAGGAGGTGCTGTTATTAGCCTTTATTCCCAGATAAGAATTCTGAGACTTAGAGAGGTTATGGAACTTGCTCATGACCAGCTTGGAATTATAGAGGCAAATATGGAACCCAGATCATCTTCAGCCAGAATTTGAGAGCACATAATATTTTCTTATAAGGTATAACTTATAAAGGATGGTGTATCAAAATCAATAGCAATAGCAAAAAAAAAAAACCCAGAAACCATATTAACATAGAGTCAAGATATGTGTATTCAACTATAGGATAACCATAAATTCTGATATCTTGGACAAGTCATTTACAACTCTCGGCCTCATTTGTCCCTCATTTGTTCAATGGGAACCTGGTGGTGAGCATCATAACAGCTATTACACATGACAATGTTTTATGACAGCACAATATTAATGCAGGATGTCATCCATTTAGAAATGTATAATCTTGGGGCCAGTGCTGTGGCATAGCCAGTAAAGCTGCCATCTGCAGTGTCAGCATGCCATTTGGGCACCATTTCGAGTCCTGGCTGCTCCACTTCTGATCCAGCTCTCTGCTATGGCCTGGGAAAGCAGTGGAAGATGACCCAAGTCCTTGGGACCTTGAACCCACATGGGAGACCCAGAAGAGGCTCCTGGCTTCAGATTGGCGCAACTCCCGCCATTGCGGCCATCTGGGGAGTGAGCCAGCAGATATAAGACCTCTCTCTCTCTCTCTCTCTGCCTTTGCCTCTCTGTAACTCTGCCTTTTGAATAAATAAATAAATCTTAAAAAAAGAAATATAAATCTCCTTTGGAAATAAAGAACATCATTAATACTATCAATAAATAATCATAAATGGACATCTTTGATCTTCTCATTTTTATTTGCTGAGCAATCCAAAGGTAAGACAAAGTGACTCAGAAAATGTCCATGGCAGACTCAAGGCTAGAGCCAGAAAGAGGCTCTTGATAATCAGATTACTCTCCTTCAGGTAGAACTTGCACATCCAGAGCCACAGCATGGGATTGCAAACTCAGCATTTAATTTGCTCTCCAATGAAGTCTATATGATTTTAACATAAAAATAAAATGCCCTCCAATGTAGTCTATATAGTGATTGCTATTATCATGCCCATATAACAAGTTTGGTATGGATTTGATAACTAATAAAGGACAATATGATGTATACATTCAAGTCCTGGTAAAAACAAGGAAGTAACTAGGAAGGCAAAAACTGCCTAGTTATCTCTGGAAGTGTTAAGCCTTCATTTCATTCCATTCCTTCTCTGACTTATTAAGCTTTATTATTGAATATACATGTACTCGTTTGCATTTTCTTCCTTGGCTAATACTGAATATTACTCTAGGGAAAGCATAGGATTATGAAAGATTTTGCATTTAATTATTATAGCAGTATCATTCAGAGTCATTGTACTTAAGGTTGTCTCAGCAGAAAATGGTAATCTCTTTTCATGAGGTTATAATTCTGTAGACAAATTCATACACATTGGATAGCCCAAATTGTGAAAAAAGCATGCTCATGTGAATGTATGCTTGTGTGTATAATCTTTCCAAAGCAACAGTTAGGACCTTAACAGTTCTGAGAGTTAAAAATCAACAACAAAGAGTGATCCAGTTATCTGGATCCTTATACCTGTGGTGCTACTTGTAGAATAAGGTAAAGTAACCAAGGATATTCCCATACCCCCAGGGAATTGTGTTCACTTTGGGCAACTTGTCTCTCAGGAAGCAGTTCCCACATACACTTAGCTCTAACATTTGTATGTAAGACTTAGCTTAATATACTATTAGTTGACCTAGAATCCTTGCTCATCAGGACCTTGAGTTGTTCTCAGGGCTGCAAGCCTACCCACCACCTTTATTTGGACTAAAATTTGTTCTTTTTCTGAATAGACAGCACCACTTGGTATTCACTAGTTTCCAGATTACAGGTGTCTACAGCAGTAGCTGCAGTGTCGGTGATGGATACTCAGATATACCCTGACTTTTATGATTGGAAGTACCTATAAGTGCTATCTGCTTCACTGTGTCGCTGTCACTAGTCACCTAATAGAGATATTTATAACATTTCCAACATATCTCCACACGGCCTTTGTTTAAGGGGTAGTTGGGAATACCATACAATTGTTAACAGTAGCTAAGATATAGAATCAACCAGGATGCCAAGTTCATGGCTACCTATGACTGGAAAAAGAAATTTTGGTATATATACATGATGGAAAACTACTAAGTCAAAAAAAGAATGAAATCATCTCTTTTGCAACAAACTGGATGCAAAACTGGGGAACACTATATTTAGTGAAATAAGCCAATCCCAAGGAAACAATTATCATGTTATCTCTGACTTGCAGTAACTAATATACACGGTACAAAAAATGTAATGTATATGAGTAAAATTGACATTTTGAGATTTGATTTTTGTTTATAGCACTTGTCTATGCACCTAAGGAACAGTGGTTTTTCTAGTTACTATTTGTTGAATTCTTTACTTAGTGGAGGATTAAGCTGGTGATTATAAAGTAAATTGAAAGTATGTCATTGCAAATATTGGAAGAAAAATGAGAAAAGAAGAAGGAGGATGGGTGAAAGAGAGGAATGAAGGGAAGGTGGAGGAAGTATCATTATGTTCTTAAAACTTTATAAATGAAGTATGTGAAATGTGTTCCCTTTATATAAAAAAATCTGCACATAAGGGTTATTATGTACTTTTCCTATACCGCCTACCTGTTCTCTATAATAAACGCTTTGGGATTGGACTTCCAATGCTGTTGGAGATGGAGTAGGTTCTGTTGTGTCTGTTGCATAGGAGAGGGAGGAGGCTTTTTGTTTTGATTGAGTTTTAGGCTCTCAACAAAAATAAAGAACCATATCTTCTGGACCACCTACGTTGAGGTCTTCTAATTACCAGTCTAAATTATCAGTATCTTTCTGAGTACCCAGAACTGATGGAAATCAGATTACTTTTCTGATGGCTCCAAGTGAATAACACAACTGACTTTGGGGATAGCAATACAGTCCAGCGAA